CACTTGAGACTGGTCAGCTCAGCGATCTTGAAGGTCTGGTCGTCTTCGACTCCAGTCTGCAAGTGGCTCAGCAGAAGCTTCAAGATCTGCCTTCCCTTGATGCCCTGAGGAGGATGCATATTTTGAGCGGCCTCCGTAAGGCGATTCATCTTGTCCCTAACGGCCCTCGTCTTGATGCGCTCCCTGATAGCACTCGTGAAGTTGGAATCCAACACCGGGTACTTGCAAGGTCCACCTAGAGCATCATAGTCCAGCCTCTCTGACCCTCTCCTTCACCTCGGAGATCCATTCCCGCAGCTTATCAGCTGTCGTCAGCAGGCAGCACGATCGTGTTGCATTTATGATGGAACCGATCCTTATCGACAACGGTGGAAATCAGTGCCCACAAGAAGTAATCCTACAGCTTTCACATAGCCTAGCAGGCAAAGGACAGCATACCTCACATGCCCTCATTCCACAACCAACGCATGGAACAAGAGGGAAACCTAGTGCACTTGTCCCGCCCGTCATCTCCCCTCAAGGCTTCAGGAAGAAGACCGCCATCTCCCAGCAACGTTGGGCTGGCTAACGCCAACACCAACACCTTGGTGGTTAACACCACCCCCGTAGGCAGATAGAAGCTGGAACCACATTGATTGTTCCCAGCTCCGTGAGAATCTACAGCAGTACCGCTAAACGATGGCGTTCCTCCCCCCAAGGTTGTTTCCCGGGGCCCTTGTCCTCCACCAAAAACCCAGGCCCAGGAGGTGGACGTGGAAATGACCCATGACCGCCACATCCGCCCCCACCATAATTCGATGGTCCCCCATGACCGCCTCCTCCTTCAGGAGGGGGAGGCGGCGCTCCACGGCCGGCGCGCTCATGCTCCGCATGGCAACGAGAACACCGTTCTTCAAAACAGTCATGCCCAAGAAACGTATGCTCATTGCAGATGTTCTTCTCACAGTCATGACAGGAATACATGGATACCTGCAGAGCAGTTTTGCGACAAGCCCAGCACTTCATCTTCAAGAATTGACAATTGCAACAGCCCCTGCACACCTGGCAGAAATCACGTTCACACGTAACACAAGTAAAACTTGCATTCGGGTGCCTTCGATCATTAGGGATGTCCCGAGCACATATTCTCGAGAGATGAGGTCCATCGCCACCTGGCGCACCGCTCGCAGTCGGTCCTGCAACCTGCCCACGATCAGATGGGGTCCCTGGATTCCTTCGGCTACCGCCAGGACTCGGGACATTGGCACGGACCCTGTCGTTTCGGTCATCCCTAGGTGGGCGGCTCGGATCTGGAGAGACACTTCCGCTATCGCGGAGCCCCTCGATTGCCGACTCTTAACCTCGGACTCCCTATCGGGAACCGCAGCAGCTCTCGGGCTCCTGTTCCTACTCTCATCCCTGTTCGGGGAAATTGAAACATTAGCCCTGATACGTGCTTGTGGATCATCCCTTGTGCGCCTCGGCGGGGAGTGCGACCTGTCTTGCATCTGCAGAGCCCTTCTGCTCCGGCTATCCGCCCTCTCCCTAACGGGAGAAACAGGACGCCTGTCTGCGTGAGAAACCGCATCAACCCTACCAGGCACGTTTGGCAAGACATGATCAGTCAGGCTAACGCCCCCACCTGGCCTAGTCGACGGGACAGAATTCTGAGCATTTCTGTCTCCAGGAGTAGGCGTTGGCGACCTGATCCTGTGTCCTTGTCCGGCAAAAGCGTCGTATCCGACGTTTGGCCTCTCCCGGAGTCCGCGAGGATTCTGTTGAACAACCTGAATCATATCGGCCGCGTCATCAACATGTCCCTCGAGATCGGCAAGCTGCGCCATAACTCGGGTATTCATCTCATTCAGGACGCGGATGTTGTTCTCGACGGTCCCAAGCCTCCGCATGGTTGCATCCAACATGTTGCGATAGAAGACAAGCTCCCGTCTAACGACGGCCTGTGTCTGTTCTGTACCTGAAGGAAGGTTACCAAGCTGAGTTCTTATAGCTTGCACAGCCTGCTGAAGCCTTTGTGCACTTTCATTGAACGTAGCGATACGGGCGTTCGCTGTCTCGACATTCTCGACGACGATATCATGGTTCCGACCTTGGCGATAGAACCCACGGGTAAGATCCTGAATCTTCCGGTTGATCTCCTCGATCGCCTCACGCCAATCCTGGGGGGCATCGGGGTCCCTAGGTCTATCGACAACATGGTACCCTCTGCCACCCCGTGATTCCAGCATTTGGTCAGCGAACGTTCTATGCTCATCCTGGAGATCGCCAATAGCCCGAGTGGCCCACTCCGCATGTCGGTCATTCTCATCTTGGAGTCTATCAAATCCCCCGTTAAGTCCCTGAAGCCCGCATCAGTCCCGCTGCTAGCGGCCCTATCGCGCCCCGATGCAGCAGGAGCATCAGAAGATGAATGCAGTAACGGCCTTCCTACGGAGAAGAGTCGTTTCTCGAACTTCTCAATCTCAGAGTTGGTCTGGTCCTCAAAGGCACCTTGACTTCTGAAGATAGCACGATGCTTGTCCTGAATAACTTGATGAAGCTGACTCATGCCACCTTCTACGTCCCTAACGGAATCCCGAACCTCGTTGGAAAGTGAGTTGATCCTTTGATCTACAATCTCACTCTGCTCATCGATAGCATGCCTAACGATTGCTCTGCTATCGGGAATGACCTCACCGGCAAACCGTTGAACTATCATTCGCATTCGATCAGCATCCGCTTGGGTCGCAACCTCAGTGGCTAGGCGACTAACCCTGTCCTTCATCAGCTGATTCTCATCATGCCACTCCTTGCGCATGGAACTCACCTGACCGTTCAGTAACCTGATCTGGTTAGCAAAAGCGTTGAGGGTGTTCGCAACCGAACCAGACGCTTCGCCTCTTTCGAACAACTCCTGGATGTGCAAATCAATCACTTCCTTAATCCTAGCGTCACCGGAGTCACCAGAAGAATGAGATCTGAGGGCTGGAGGGGTCGATATCTCGATCCTCTCAGGAACCCTTTCAACTCTGGTGCGGTCTCTGGGGTCGGAAACAGGACCATCAGTGATGCTGGGCGGCCTAATTGGACTGACGCCCCTCGCCGGATCTGGGATTAACATTCGACCCATGAGATTCAGGTGTGGAGTGAATATGAACATCAGCAGGATCAAACATGTCCTCATCCTGCGGCGTTGGTTCAGGGCTAGCCCTCCTCGCCTTCGACCTATCGGTCCCTCCGGCTATGGGTGACGGCCTCTTCGCAGAAGCACTGCGTTCCCTGCTGGCTGATCCCCATTGAGGAGTGAATTCATTGCTAGACCTTAGTGGTTCGAGGTCGCTGAGGTCTCGCCCTAACGGGCTAGCGACCGGCGAACGATCCTCGATCTCAAGTGCACTAGCAAGCCTTCCGTCCCTCGCACCTGCTTCAACCACGTTGGCAGCCCGCTCAGTGGTCCTGGACGAACCAGTACCCCGGTTTACATCCTCGACTCTCTGATGCAGCGGTCCTCCAAAAGTGATATTGGGGAAAGGGGGAACATTCGGGACGGGGTCAATTACGGGAGGACCTATCGGTCCTCTTCCGTCATGGATGGCCTCCAACCCCTAAGAGTGCCCCGACTCTCCCCAATCCGCTCTCTCTCATTCCGGGTGTCTCTGTCAACACGAATGTCCCTAGCGGGACGGCTCCTTGCACTTCGGTACGCCAAACTCTCTTCCTGATCCCGAGCATCCGCAAATGCAGCAAAATCTTCATCATTACCGGACTCAAAGGGAGCCGTTAAAACAGGGTTGGGCCTATCAGTATCAGACTCAGGCTTCACACCACCGCCCCATCCTGCGGTCGACGTTAACAGGGCATCGTATCCGATGCCTGCAAACGCCCTCTCCTCGTGCTCATCAAGCTGACCTGGATTCTGGGACCCAGTTGCTCGACCCGAGATATCTCTCGGAGCCAAGACCATGGTCCCTGGTCCCTGCAGCCTGTCCTGTGAATCACCTGGAAAAAGGGACCTGGGAGATCGACTAGGCATGGCTTCCAGGTCGTCCGCATGAGGACGAGCCATGTTCATCGCCATACTGATGAAGTCCAAATGTCCCTGTCCGAAACCTGATTCGGAGCCGCCCCTATCGGGGCGAGCTCCTCGTCCTTGCTCATCATCGGTGGCCTCGGAAAATGCGGTCGTCTCCATCGTCAGTGTACCTGCCACGGCTTCGGGGTGTGTCCCTATCGGGATCATCACCCCTACGGTCCTGACCTGTCGAACCTGCTTCGAAGTCCTCGTAGTCGAAGTCCGGTAGGTCCTCACCTGAGCGGAGGCCACCTAGGATGGCCTCCTCATCCACGACGCTCCTGCGGGATCGTGGGGTCGACGTCATTGAGCTTGTAGTTGATGGTCTCAAGCGCGCTACGGCTGATAACCTGTGATTCGGGCACGAACCTGTGCCCAGGCAATGGGTTAGTTGGGGTAAACAAGCCACAAAGAAAGGTTCCCCAAAAGCAAACCAATCCCCGGTCCCAAAGATCAGGGTTTCCCACACACCAGAGAACAACAACCAAAAGGGAAATACCAAAACAAGTAAACAAGTACCCGCAACCTTGATCGACGATGAACCGCACGGGCGGACCCCACCAATCTGCCCCGGGCCGATGTCTCTTTCTCCACCGACACGAAGGTGATCGACGCGGGGACCCGGCGACGCTCATCCGAGGCGCGACGGACCCGCAAACTTGAGCCAAACACCACCGGTCAGTCACTATCGCGACATCCCTGGTGATGCATTAAACCATGGCTAATCACAGTATATTTAGGGTGTATTTATGGTTAGTTTAGGGTTGGTTTAGGGTTGGTTTATGTTCATTTAGGGTTGGTTTAGGGTTGGTTTAGGTTTAGAGGTGTACGGTTTAGGGTTTGGTTCAAATATGAAATTATTATTGCATATTCAAAGCAAAACCATATAATGCATAATCGCATGGGTTTACGAATCGCACATTGGCTGTTTTTGGCAATGCAGCCAATTGGATTATGTAGGTCGGATCCAGCTCGGCTCCTGCCACGTCTGATCAATGAAGTATGGGGCACATTTCCAGCAAAGTGAAGCCAATCCAGCGGCAACATCCCTGTCAAACAAATACTCAACACACATTCGATCCTGAACACAAGCCCAGCACGCTAAAAGCGGCTAGCCCACCTGCTTCTTGGAATGCCAAAAATACGGCATGTTGTACTCCTCAGACCAGTGCTCCTCCCAGAAGGGTGGCAAGGGCTTCTCCTGTGTCCTGAGCTGTCTGGCGCTTCATTTGCGGCACTCGTGCCAGTAGGCTCCGGGCGAGAGTGGTGAGGTAGCCTTTTTCGACGTCCCCTGACAGATGCGAGGGACCGCGACTTGCATGCCCGGCCCAGCCCCGGCCTTGCCCTGCGCGGCCTTGCCCTGAGCAGCCCCGGCCTTGCCAGCCCCAGCCTTGCCCTGCGCGGCCTTGCCAGCCCCGGCCTTGCCAGCCCCGGCCTTGCCCTGAGCGGCCCCGGCCTTGCCAGCCCCGGTCTTGCCCTGAGCGGCCCCGGCCTTGCTGCTCTGAGCGGCCCCAGCCTTGCCAACTCCGGCCTTGCCGATGTTATTGCCGGCTTTGCCCTGGGCCACGATGGCACCTCGAAGTGTGTGAAGCGTGCGGGTCGTTGTCAACCTGATTGAGTCGCACCTGCCGCCAGCGCGCAGTTCATGGCACCCAAGCCGCTGTGGTCCACCTCGGACCAAGGGAAACACATGCAACAAGAGAACATGCACTGAGGCCAGGGCGTAGAGGCAGAAGTTCACTCTGCTCCCCACGTGGGGCTGCTCAACCTGCAGGTCGTCCTTGTGCAAAAAGACTTGGCCGTTGTGCTTTGCAGCTTCTGGTCGTGGTACTGGTTTGTCTGGCGTAATCCACCCAAAGTTCCCCAACCATTTGCTGATTCTCCCACCCTGCGGGACGAAGGTGATTTGGGTGCGAACCTTCTGCCCTGGAGCTGCCGTTGCCCCCTGGGTTTTCAGGAGGCCCAGGGCAGGCTTCACAAGCTGGGGCTGTGCACTTGTTTTTGCCGGGATCTTTGTCACCTGTCCATGGACAGCTGGGCCTGCCATCGGTTTGGCAGCTGCGGTGACAGGCTTGACGATGACCCAAGTCCCTGGCTTGGCGGGCGTGGCAGCCTTCACGGGTTTCGTCTTCAGGCCAAGCTTCAGGACGTTAAATTTCCGCGCGAGCGGCATGGGCGGCGCATGTTTCGGCTGCGCAGGCTGCTTGGCGATCAGCAAGCTACCAATCTTTCGGCCGATCTGCACAGGCTTTGCTGCGGGCTTGGCTAGCAGCTTGGCCGCCAGCTTGGGCATTGGCAACTGCTTGGCAGGGGCTAGAGCCGGCGCTGCCGGCTTGGCTGCCGGCTTGGCTGCCGGCTTGGCTGCCGGCTTGGCTGCCGGCTTGGCTGCCGGCTTGGGCAAATGCTTGGGTGGTCTCGCCTTGAGGCCTGGCTTGACTACGCCCTTAGGCTGCGAAGGCGCCGCACAAAGCACATTGATGGGCTTGGCCAACGGCTTTTGCGGCAAGAGCCGGCAATACTCCGCTCCAAGTCGACCACCCGACACAGTCTCGGAATACACCAAGAAATCCACAAAGTTGCCAGGCTTCAGGCTCTGGCCTGCAGCGACATCCTTTTGCTTGACAACAAGCTGTCCTTGGCTCTTCTGTCTGAATGGGTGCTCGATTGGCTTGTCAGGCCGGATCCATCCCTCCTCTCCCTGCCACCGAACAACTTGCCCAGCGATGCGTCCGCACTTCACACGGGTCCGCGGGGTTGACTTCGGGTCCATGGAAGCACACTTCACATTCTTTGCCTAAGAGCCCTCGGTGCAGCATGTGAACTCCAAGAAGCGCGCACTCTTCCCAGTGAAACTACACACGGCTGTAAAAGAAATGCGTTCCCGTTTGCTGTTTCCTTCGCAGGATGATATTCCAAGAGTATGGATGAAAGTGCAGCCCACCACAAAGCAGCACCATTGCACAGGACACTTTCTGACTATCGCACTGGAATGCGAAGCGTCATGCCGCGAGCTCGCGCTACCAGCATTTGCGGTGCGGAGCTGTGAGACTTTGGGCTCGATCTTTCAAATCTCATGACTGCTTGAACTCCGCGTCGCCGTTTTGGCGGCTTCTGCGATCCTCCGCTGAACGGCTTGCTGCTGAACCTGAGCTCCATGGCATTCGCACTCGCTTTGCACATTTCGGGCGCCTCCTCCCACGGGAGCGCCACTTCATACGTCAAGGAGTTGTCCGCGCCGTTGATGATGTTGTGCGCCTTGTCCTGCGCTCGAGCCCCTCGAGCCCCTCGAGCCCCTCGAGCTCAAGGTAAGGCGCGGGCCCTGACTTCGTGGCCTCAGGCGCTCAGCTTGAGCTCTCAAGCTCTCAAGTTCTCAAGTTCTCGGAGAGTGAGGGCCGGGCTTCTCAAGGCCGACGCCCGCTCCGGATCCCAAGTCTAGGCGGAAAAAGGCTACAGGGGACTGCACATGCCAGTAAGGCCAGTAAGGCCAGTAAGGCCAGGGCGGGTGAGTACTTTGGGAACAAGCGTGAGTGAGTGTCCAGGAAGCGGAAGGGATGCTGCTCCGGGTCAACGCGCTTCCGCTGGATGCAGACATCCTACTCAAAAAACGCAACCAGCGCATTTTCTTGGGAAAAAGTTGAAGGCGCGGCGCATCGCACAGGCGCGTAGGCGAGGCGAAAAAAATGCCTGCCCTGCCTGGGAGCGCTCGAGCAGTGGATCTGTGCCGTAGTGCCGCATGGCCACGGCGTCGTCCGAGTAGTTCTGTCCGTGGAGCTGCGCAAACCGGTGCTCGGCCTGGGCTGCCTTCCGCTCGGCCTCGAGGCGAGATTCAACTTCTTGTTGCCGCGCTGTGTGTTTTTTGTGCACCATGCATTTGATTAAACAAAAAATCGGGTCACACTCCAACTGTCGACCCGGAAGCCTTCCATTCCGAACCCTGCCTGAGCTGCAAAGTGCTCATACCGATCACGGTACAGCATCGTATCTGGATGCGTCGGGCCATCAATTCCCAGGATGCCCTCAGCCACAATTGGAAGCTCCAATTTGCGCTTTTGCATTCAATGCGGAGACATATCAGTGTGTCTTTTCCAATGGGTACCCTTTTTGGGGTTGATTTCCCGTGAAACTAAAGAAAACCATCAGTTTGGCGCTGAAACCCTGCGAAGTGGGACGGTTCACGTCAGCTCTCGGGGCAGGGCTTCAGGGTGCTTTCGCTCCAGGACATTCATTCGCTTGCGGTAGCGAAAGATGGCATCCCTTTCTTCTCGCCACTTCTTCTCCCCTGCTTTCATCTTCAGATGCTCCTTGTACCGCTCAGACGGCAGCATCAAGCTGTGGTTCTGGTACCTGGCAAGGACACCACAGGCGAAATGCTGGCCGATCCTTGGCGCACATCTTGATGAAGGAGTCATCAACTTCAGGAGGAGGGGCAGGAATCTCAAAGGTGCCTTCCCGCGGATCTCCCCTGGGGTCCATGACGGGGTTCGGCAGAACGGACATGTCCATCGCACCCGATTCCTAGCACAGCACAAATATCACGGACATGCCGACATGCCCGTGTGTGACACAGTCGCGAGCTTCGTGAACGTCAGCCGAGCCTTCATGGGTCGAACCACTCGGGCTTCGCTCACAAAGCTGACAGAGGGCCGGATCTGGCCGTAGGTGGCCTCAGGGCCGAAAGCGGGGTATGGCCTCACACGCGCCCGAGGCTGAGGCCATCTTCCGGATGAAGCGGTCTCCTTGCGTCGGCGCCTGAAGAGATGTCAGAGATTGCGATTGCAGGCGAGTTCTCCCGGGCCTCGGCGTGCTGATAGCAAGGGTCCGTGGACTTCATGAAGGAGTCCAGGCGTATGGTGGGATGAGCTCCACGGGAGGCGCCCAGGGCAAGCCCCCCTACCTGGATGTGAGTCGACTGAGTCGACAGAACAAGTCAGGCAAAGTCGATGCGACCAAGGCACTGATGCAGCTTGAGAAGAAGCACCTGCCATTCCTCGCTGGCTTGGCATTGTCCCAAGCGGCCTGTTCTTAAGCACGACCTTGGGACACTTGAGCCAAAGCTCAAGCTGGCAAGAATCTGCCACAGGGATCCAAGCGGAAATCCTGCAACGTTTCTTGGCGCAGGGTTGCTGACTTGCTGCGGCGGTCTTGTTTTTCTGTTCGGCGGAGACTCGGCCCGCTCGAACCCCTCTCAGACTGCACCCAAAAGGCTGGCCTCGGGGCAAAGGCAAAGAAATCGACGAAATCCGAATCGATTCGACGCAATTCCAATTCACTGAGGTGCCGGCTCGCCAGGCCCAATACTTTGCTCGGATGCGGTCAACTTCTTCCAGTTGGCTGTAGAGCGCAGCAGCTGCCTGGACGTCACCTTTGGCCTGCCCAATCACTCTGTCACTCTGTGCTCATTTCATGGCATATGCCTGGAGACCCCTGCAGACCCCGCACTCCACTGCATCCGAGCGCATCAAATTCCAGCCTCGTTGATGCTGGCCATCGCTTGCAAGGCCATGCGGCAGGTGCCGTGCTGCGCGGCGACGTCAATGACCTCAGACTCCCACATCCCACGAGGCCGGCCACGACTCCGCCAGCTCAGCCGGCCTCGCGACACAGCACTTCCACCTCCGGCTCTGCTGTCCATGGCACCTGGCACGCACATGCCCCGGCATGGCACCAATATGGACGGAAAGCCTCAAACACACCTGAGGACCTGAGACCGGCTCTGGAACTCTTGCCGTCTCTTGCCTCGCCTTGCAATTCCCTTCGCCCAGGAAGGCGGAGAGGTAGTTCCAGGCACATTCGTTGTTCGCACAGGCCCTGATGGCATCCATGGCGAACTTGATCTCCCTCTTGCGGATTTCGTCACTCAAAGGCCACGATTGGTTGCGCACCACGGTATACCTGCCCAGTACAGTTCTATTGTCTGCATTGCAGCACAACTCATGGGCCTGTGGTTCCAAGCTGAATTATTCCGGATGTCTTCAGACAATAATCGCTCCACGAAAGGAAGCTCTTCATGCCACAGGTTGAAGTGCTGCAAAATGAACTGCCGATGTGACCTCGCACATGACATGTGTCATGCTGAATGCTTCATCGAGCTCCGGCAAGCTTGTTCAAGCAGGGTCGCCAGCCATTGTAGTTTTTGTAGTCGCTGTTGACTTGCATGCAATCCTGAGCACGGAGTGCCAACCAGTTGCGGCATTGCACTTAGGATTGCAGGAAAGCTGTAAAGGGTCAGTCAAGGGGCCAAATGATATTCGAGTTCTTGCCGTGCTAGAAGCTGGATGTGTTTATCAGCCTCTGCGCCCGCTTCTTTGCGCTTTCGCTCCGCAATTTCGGATATCAGCCACCGCCGATGATACCACACCTAGCCAGCGTGACCGAGACCCAACGGTTTTTGCGTGATGCGCCGCTGATGCGCCTGGTAGTTCTTTGGACAGTCTGTGGCCCACTTGTTTGTGAAGACCCGCTCTTCATCCAAATCACTGTCAAGCTCCTTGAGGCAGCGTCTGCGGTAGTACCAGGCAGTGTAGTTGGCAGAGTTGTTCTCGATGACATCGGCAGTCAAGCTAAGAGCTCGCAAGCTCGTTTCATTGCGCTGCTGAATGGCACGAAAGTATCCATGCACCTACGGCCGTCACGGACACAGAATAAATTAATAAACGGCACACAAGAAATACAAATTGAACACACGGCACCTCCTCGAAACCGGGCGGGTACTTGATGACCTGCGTCAGCTTAAGTAAACTACGACGGACCTCACATAACTGAGGATTGAGGTGGCCACAGCCAAAGGGTGTGGACCATCTTTCTGGGGCACTGGTGTCACATCCTGCAAGCCGGCTCGGATTAATCAAAATCACCATACTCATCCAAGGAACCCCCCAAAATGCGGTGGCATGGACTCCCCGCTAAAAGCGAACCACCCAAGTAAGTATCGTCCTCTGGCATTACAGCTTTCAGTATCTCACATCGGACAATTGGCCTGTCCTTCCACTCCTCACGCTTGCTGTAAGGCCGATCTTCGCTAATGCCATACATGGTCTTGGCCGCGCAAAGTCGGCTGTGAGCCAGAACAATACCACACGAGCACAGCAGCCTCCCAATTGAGCCATTCTAGCAATTTCAATGTCAGCCGTCCTCCCCGAAGTCAACACGGGCCACAGCCTAGCACCTAGAAAAATGTGAAACAAACATCGAGAAGAATGTCTATCTGCCAGCAATGAATGCTTCGCTGTGTCAATTGCAATTCAAGGCACCGCTGAGATTTAAAAAGGATTCGCTCGTTGCAATTGCCAAAGCTGAGCAATTTGAAGACCATGTCTAGTGAACTCAACAAATGCCACGGCAGATTTGTTCAAAAAACTGAACACAACATCATTACACAAATATGTGTGGCTGGATAACTGTGGGCAGGAGCGGCAGACACAAATTCGCAAACAACTTCGGTTGCGTGCTCAAAATGTCCTCTCTGAGTACAAGTCTAGTCGAATACACGATTCGCACAAGCCCCGTTGTGAAAGGCCTGCTCCTCACATGAGACAAGCTTCGGAAGTGGAGTGTTGGTCGGGTATCGACTGGGGGATTCAGCCTGGGTGTGTTTGGTTTTAGAAACGAGTCGTGCCCAACGCTCTTTTGGCAGACCGTTTCGAGCTGCGCTTGAGCACCGAATCTTTCAGCCAGCGCTAGTGCCCGACTTTGACTCCTGCCAAACGAGGCCGGCCAGTGCAGCAAACCGTATGCGCCACAAGCTGCACGATCAACTGAACTGGACTCAGCGCTGATTGAGCTTTCCTGATGATACCATGGAGATTGTCAAGTATCATGCGCGCATCTCGGTCCAGTTTCAGCTCGTCATTCATTCAAAGCCTCCCTGCGAAAGCAAAGTAAAATTAGTAAAGCTCATGTCATATGCAATCGGCAAAGCATCCGCATCCCATCGCGTCCGGTGAAAGTCGCGGCGTGCCGAGTTCACACCTTGGACTCGGCTTGGGAATCCCATCGTCCAGTCAGCCAAATGGGATGCAAGTGTTACGCCTACACTCACCATGTATATATCACGTTCAGAAAAGCATCGACATCCAACCAGAACCTAGAAACGGCAAATCATGCTGATGATGATGATGGTGGTGATGATCATGATGATGCTAATCCTGCTGATTAATAATGCTCATGATGCTGCTGATGCGGCTGCTTCTGCTTCTGCTGCTGGTGCCGGTGCTGGTCGTGCTGATCGTGCCAATCGTGCTGCTGGCGCTGCTGCTGCTGCTGCTGCTGCTGCTGCTGCGGAGGAGGAGGAGGAGGAGGAGGAGGGGCATGCGAAGGATAAGAAGGATGAGGATGATGAGGATGATGAGAATGATGAGGTTGATGAGGTTGATGATGCTGATAGTATTGAAGCGATGATGCTTTCTTTTGAACAAATAACGTGATGGTGGTGGTAGTTGTCACGGTGATTGTGATTCAGTATCATTTCCTCTGCAACAGTTGGTTGTGCTGTGCTTTTCAAGGTTGGAATTTGAACATCACTTCCACACCACTTCCCCCCGCCCTGCTTCCCACTTTGCCCATACCTTGTTTTTCGTTGCTCCTTCTGTCGTGGTACAGCAGCCGTTGCAGGCTGGCGCAGCTTTGGTGAAACGAAAGCCTGCTAACTACGGGTACACTTAGCCTCCACAGTGCAGACAGAACTGGCATTCTCGCAAACAGACAGACCACAAAAACTTTCGCATCGTGCAATCTGCCACTCAGGTACGTTCAAGTGTGTGAAACTTTGCTAGTCAAGGTACCAAGGCTCACAGTACAGAAGGAGAGATCATGTGCGCCCCTTCAAGATTGGCTGAAGTCCCTGAATGCCAACATTTCGGCTCTCAGGATTCCAGCCAAAGCAGCACCACCGCTACCAGCGGAACTGCAAGTCGTATCGTTGTGCTATCAGATGCCGAACCATCTTGAAGAACGGCTACGAAGACGGTGCTGCTTGTCGTCTGGGTCATCTGGGTTGTCTGGGTCTGGGTGATGGACGTGACTGTGGCTGTGATGGTCGACGTGGTCGTGGTGGTCAGATCAATCAAGGGAATCACAAGCCCATCGTCGAGGTGCGACGCTCCACTGCCGGTGTTGGCGCCGGGAAGCACCACGAGCTGCCTGAACTGGAAGTTGGGCATGTTCAGCTCCACTCTGTACTTGAAAGCATGGCAGCAATCGGCATTGGGCAACATCTTCGGCACGGTCGCCAGCGGCTGGGTGTCCTTCAAAATGTGGCCACAATCATCCACCGGGAAGATGAGGTAAAAGTCCACCATGCTCTCGTCCACTATGCCACTCTTCATGTTCGGGCCGAAGGTCAACGTGCCGGAATAGTCTCCAAGTCTGTCATTTGTGTCGACAAATGAGCCAGTGCAAGCGCGGCATTGAATGTAGGGCTCTGCGGCAAACAACTGTGTCGATGCCAGATTCTTTGGACAGAACCACTCATACTGTCCAGCCGCCAGGCAGCCAGACAATGCTGCGGCATTCCCTGCACCGATGGTGAGATTGCAGAATGATGACTGGCTCAGACTGTCGCAATCCGAGCTTGCAGCTCGGTCAAGCTGAAGGAACTCCTCGCCATAGCGATCCAGCTCGAAGGGCGCGACGCATCCCACGATATGCGTCGTTGTACTGGTTGATTGTGTGATGGTGGTAGTTGTTAAAGTGACGCTGGTAGCTGTTATTGTGTATGTGGTGGCTGTTGAAGTGATGCTGGTCGTTGTTGCAGTACTGCTGGTTGTTGTCACAGTTGTGGCTGTACTGCTTGTTGTTGTCACGGTGGTTGCTGTGAAAGTGCTTGTTGTGGCTGTACTGCTTGTTGCTGTGACAGTTGTGGCCGTACTGCTTGTTGCTGTCGAGCTGGATGTTGTGCCAGTGGTTGACGTGGTGACTGTTGTCGTAGCAGTAGAACTTGTTGTTGTCGCGCTGGTTGTTGTAGCAGTTATGCTTGTTGTCGTTTTCGTTGTGGTAGTCGTCGTTGTGGCTGTAACGCTTGTTGTTGTCGCAGTTGAGGTTGTGACAGTGGTCGACGCGGTAGTCGACGTTGTGGCTGTAATGGATGTGGTAATCGTTGTTGTGGCTGTAACGCTTGTTGTTGTCACAGTTGTGGCTGTGACAGTGGTCGATGTGGTGGCCGTCACTGTGGCTGTAGTGACTGTTGTTGTCACAGTTGTGGCTGTGACAGTGGTCGACGCGGTAGTGGATGTTGTGGCTGTAATGGATGTGGTAATCGTTGTTGTGGCTGTAACGCTTGTTGTTGTCACGGTTGTGGTTGTGACAGTGGTCGACGCGGTAGTCGATGTTGTGGCAGTAGCGGTTGTTGTAGTCACGGTTGCGGTTGTGGCAGTGCTTGTTGTGACTGTATTAGACACAGTAGTTGTTGATGTGGCTGTAATAGACGTGGAAATCGTTGTTGTGGCTGTAACGGTTGTTGCTGTTACGGATGTGGCTGTGACAGTGGTCGACACGGTAGTCGTTGCCGTGGTAGCCGTCGCTGTGACAGTAGTGGCTGTTGTAGTCACGGTTGTGGCTGTGACAGTGGTCGTGTCGGTAGCCGTTGCCGTGGTAAGCGTTGTTGTGCCGGTAACGCTTGTTGTTGTCACGGTTGTAGCTGTGACAGTGGTCGTGTCGGTAGCCGTTGCCGTGGTAGCCGTTGTTGTGCCGGTAGCGCTTGTTGTTGTCACGGTTGTGGCTGTAATGGACGTGCTGATCGTTGTTGTCGCTGTCGCGGTTGTGGCTGTGGCGGTAACGCTTGTTGTTGTCGCGGTTGTGGCTGTAACTGTCGTGCTAATCGTTGTTGTCGCTGTCACGGTGGTTGCTGTGCCAGTGCTTGTTGTGGCTGTGATGCTTGTTGCTGTGGCGGTTGTCGATGTGGTAACCGTCGTTGTGGCTGTAATGGACGTGGAAATCGTTGTTGTGGCTGTAACGCTTGTTGTTGTCACAGTTGTGGCTGTGACAGTGGTCGACACGGTAGTCGTTGCCGTGGTAGCCGTCGTTGTGGCTGTAATAGACGTGGTAATCGTTGCTGTGGCTGTACTGCTTGTTGATGTCACAGTTGTGGCTGTGACGGTGGTCGATGCCGTAGCCGTCGTTGTGGTAGCCGTCGTTGTGGCTGTTATGGACGTGGTAATCGTCGTTGTGGCTGTAACGCTTGTTGTTGTCGCAGTTGAGGTTGTGACAGTGGTCGACGCGGTAGTCGATGATGTGGCTGTACTGCTTGTTGTTGTCACAGTTGTGGCTGTAACGCTTGTTGTTGTCACACTTGTTGTTGTGACAGTGGTCGATGTGGTAGCCGTCGTTGTGGCTGTACTGCGTGTTGTCGTCGCAGTTGAGGATGTACTGCTCGTTGCTGTCATGCTGGTGGTTGTAACACTGGTTGTTGTGGCTGTCGCAGTTGTGGCTGTGAGGCTTGTTGTTGTCAGGCTGGTTGTTGTAACACTGGTTGTTGTAACACTGGTTGTTGTGCCAGTGCTGGTTGTGGCTGTCGAGCTCGTGGATGTGGCGGTGGTCGCCGTCACACTGGTGGTTGTCTTGGTTGACGCAGTGGCCGTGGTGGTTGTGCACTGATCTGGATTGACCATCGGCAGCACCAGCATGCCGGGATTAAACGCCCTTCCATCTGGAAAGCCTTCCCAGCAAGACTGGCCAAGGCACAGGCATAACTGCCCCAAAACCAATAGCGTGCGCCACATGACTTCGAGATCAATTGGCCCAAACAACTATGCCGCTTGAGACTCTTGAGCCAGAAACACCGTGGAGCAACAGTTTGACCACTCGTTCCAAAGGACAAGCAAGCACCGTCCAAGTGCACGAGATTCCGCATTGGGGCCCCTGCTGTATGGGCACCTCGCCGGACCCGCCTGAAGCAAAACCTGAGTCTTGGACCCTGGGGACTTAGGACCCTTTCACTTGAAAACGCCAAGGGTCTCCAGGGGAGCCTCCGAGCAATGCTTGCCAAAAGCTAAGGGCAACCTGGACGTCGGGCCTGAGGTTCACGAGCTCTTGAAGTGTGCTGGACTTGCCCACTTGCCCTGAGCGCAGACATGGGAAAGGCATTTACACATTTACACCTTCGCCACTCATTGTCACCATCGCAACACGCACTTGAGAGGGGAATGGCCTGCCGCCAGAAAATGTGTTGCTGCTCGTCGACCTGTTAGCTCACCGTCCGCACCTAGTCATTGGCATCAACGGTTCGGCACCTTTTCAACCGAGGCCACTCCTCAGCTCAACAGCTGGCACCCGCTCCGGCGAGGGAAAATAGTATTTCAAGCTTCACTGGGCCCGCTGGGCAGAATACAAATTCACTAGGAGTGCAGCTCAAAGTTTTCCAAACACCCTTTGTGAACATAGAGAGCAACTAATCAAGTAATGTTCAGCACGCCAAAGCTCGGCACACTGGCAGATCTGCCTATGGCGTTCTGCCGGCAAAATCAGCTCGGCCTCGGCTCTGGCATTGGGACCCCTGGGAGCGAAAGCCGAAAGCGGAAGCCCCTGATCCAGCGAGGCCTCTCCGCAGAAATCCGCCGGGCCGCTTCTTGAAAACGGAGTCGCCCATCAGTCGACCGCCTCGATTTTTGCTTCGACGTTTGCGTCGATGAGCCGAGGAGAGCCGGTGGCCCTTGCGGGTCGCCAGGCTCTGGCCATCCCAAGCCATGAAGCGGGCTGGGTACGGTTAGCGAATGCATAGCCACTGCGCGTCTCGAGCCGCAGCGCCGCGCCAAAGTTCATGGCCGACATGGAAATTTAGAACCTGAAGGCGCGGTTTAGGGCGTTGAGATCTCCAAGCGCCCGCTGTCCTGAACCTTTGGCCGACGCTGATTCCACGAAGCGGCTGCACCCATGGAAGCTTGCCCTGGTCAAAAGACGAGTCCGAAATTCGCTCAGATCAGTCCCAAAGCGTGGGCCACGGCCGCATATCGCAAAAAATGGGAGGACACTCGGACAGGTCGCAGCTCAGTTTTCTGGAACTCGTCCGGGTTGAGGCAGCCTACAAAAGGCGGAGCTGCCTTGTAACTCAAGGCGCCTCAGCTGTCAACCGCGGAAGCTAAGGAAATTCTCAGAAAGACGCTGACCTTTTTTTCTTTGCAGAGAATACGACTCCACTCGCATCGCGGACATAACTACCAACGTGCTTGGTGTGCAGGCGCGCCCACGTCAAGCGACTCACTAAGCGCAAACATCGCGCTTGGCCGCAAGGAATGATTGAATGCAGAGACTGGCAAAACCAAGGATAACCATGGATCAGTTTGCGATGTGACCAAACGCAGGCCCGGAGCCAACGTTCCGTCACGCCTCGTCAACTCGTGTGTCTGGAATTTGTACATCGGTGAATCAATGCCTGTGACATCGAACTGTATGGCTTTGCAGCCAGCCCTTTCTCCTCGCTGCAAAGTCTCTAGTCTTTTGGGGCAGCCCGCAGGTGATCCAACACGAACGAAACTTGTAACTTAAAGAAGGAAAGAAGGAAAGAAGAAACTGCCGGGACCTCCCTTCAATCCCAAAGAAACACTTTGCCTCTTCACAGGCTGTGAGACTTGGCCTCAGCTCCCGATCTCGCACCACTTGCGATGCGAGGCCATGGTTGAAAGCCGGCTGACTGCCAAGTGTCAATTGGCTGCGTGCAGGGCGACATGAGAACCGAGAAATACTGACCATCCTAGCAAGCCAATCGACACTCGGCCCTAAAAATTGACTCCTGCACTCAGCAAGAGTCCAAAATCTACTCACTGCACCTTCCCGCCCCCCACATTCGCTTGCTGAGCAGACACCAGCATGCATTGATTTGAATGTTGCCCGCAATGAACATCAGCCCAGCATGACGCTGGGTGTGCCTTGCAGACGAAACTCAAGTCAGCTCTGCCTGGAGCACAAAGATCCACTTCAGCACGAGCGCGTCTACTTCCGCCATTTGGCCAAGCCTAAGCCGTGAGGTACCGTCTTTGCAATCTCCGGTCACTAAGAGGCTCGTGAAAGGTAGTCACTGAGACTCGTGCATTCACTTGCTGAAACAGAGCGGAACTCGCTCTTGCCAAGGTCCAGCTTCACCTAGCCGCTGGCCAAGGCCCCTTGAAGGGGCAAAAGCTCGCCATCGCCTCATTGCCAAAGCGGAAGCGCACAAAATCGCCCACTGCGATGTCCTGAGAAAGGGTGCGGAGCTTGTTTCGTGGTCGCATTGCGCCGTGAAATGCACCCGGTCCATGGGGACTGGCTTGCCGTTGCGGTCCAGATCGTCATCTCCCACGGCCACCACCTGGTCACACGAGTCGCGAGCGAACGTCTCGGACTTCCGACGCCTCTCCCATGGTGGTGTCGGGCTTGGCCGCGCCCTGCACGACTCCAACGGCAAAACTCACGGCCAATGGCACAGCTCGCAAAATGGCGCCTTGGAGAGCAAGATTCCACCCTGAGACTCTTTTTCCAAGAGTTTCAGCAGCACCTGAAAAGGGGGAGAAAAAGAAGAAAAAAAACACGGCAAAGGCTTGCCATTTGTGCGAATTGCAAAGGAGCCAATCGCCTTGCCCCTGGGCATCTTGATGCTCTCCAAGGTGGGCTGGCCAAGCGCTTTACTACATGTCTCCGAGCTCGACTTTCCGAGCCTCACCCTCGTAGCTCAACAGGACATCCTCATCCCTCACCTGTCATACAGCTTGGCTCTTTGGCCCTGACAGGCCTCGGGCCAGACAATTGGGCGCCCGGCCAGCACATGCTCCTCACCATTGTAGGTGACCTGAAGGCGCGAAAGCGCATGGCCAGGCGCGGAGACTTGCGATCCTCCTCAACGCCATACTTGCCGTGCAGTATCTTCATGCCTGCCTAGCAAAGCACGCATACCGCCACCCAAGTGCTCACCTCTCAGACCGGACCAAAGACATCGATGTTCGCTTGGCGCCTCTGCCCAAGGAGCCACTTGCACGCCGTTCTCCTGAGGACATTCCAGCGATTCCGGAGTGCACTTCACGCAGCGCGCCTTGACCGAGCCAGGACCCACTGCCACCACCTCTCCCTCGCTGGGCTTCTCCTCTCTGCAAACGACTGTCTGAGTGCCCAAGACTCCCAAGACCGAAGGGCAGTCCGATGAGCTCGGCAGCAGCAGCCCGGACTTTGTGCTGGTCACAGCTTCCTCTCAAAAGGTTGGAGGATGTCGAAGGCCAGTCCCGTCTATGCGATATTATTGATATGCTCCTTGGACTTCGCTAGCACATAATCGAAGAGTGGCGTGAGCTCTCCGGTCACCTGCAAAACCGTAGCTCCGAGAGTTCCCTGTGATTTCCCCCGGCCTCGGCGGTTTTGGCGCGCAAGGCAGTCCTGACGCCTCAAGACACGGAGAAGGCGCCTGCGAACCGAGCCGAACCGAGGCCTGCGTGCGGCGCGAAGGCGAGGCCGACCAAAAAGCCTCACGGAAGCCGCCGGACGTTCGCCAAACGAAAAACGAATTGGACACGTCTCTCGTTCCAGAACTCTAAAGTGGCCCTCTCCTGGCAAGCACCAAGCGCCGCGGCGCGGCATGACCTGGCACGTTGCAAACAGATCAGCCAACGGCGCGCTTTGTCCGCACCTGACGACGTGCGAAGACAAGTCCCACTGAGGTGTCTGTGGTCTGCATCTTAAAGCTGAGCGTATGTCGCTGACTTTCTGGTTGCATGCCATGATTGAGGCCTCATGTTTGCTGCAAACCAGCTACGGCATGAACTTGAAGGCAAGGCCGTCAGGTCCACCGCACTTTCCAACACGCGATCGGGCCTGCGCCTGCCGGGCCTTGCCGCTTGGCTTCGGGTCGCACAGACCCGCAGCCAAGCGCCGCGCGGCTCACGCCGAAAGGCCGTGCGACGCGCTCCCACTGCACCATTGGCAGGGATGCAAAGGATCGCGAGATGGGGGTTTCAGCCATCAAAATGTTAACCATCTTGAGCTACAACTTGCTGAAACCAAAAGCACATACCTACGAGACCCATGCCACTTATGTGCACAGGCATGAGCATGAACCTTGGGAACGAACTTGGCTCCAAAAAGCGCACCCGCTCACACGCGGTTCAACTCGAGATGCGGCTACTGCACGGAGCCCTGCGCTCTCAGGCCGCTCTCCGGCCGCTCTCCGGCCGCTCTCCGGCCGCTCTCCCGCTCTCCCGCTCTCTCGCTGCTTGGCGTGAGATTCCGCCTGGTGCTGCATGAGGCTCACCGAGATTTGTTTGGTCAGATCCGTGGCCTGCTTCTCCAACATGTCCTGCACATTTCACTGTCTAAGTCTTCGGCTCCAACAAAGTCTAGTTGAGTCTCGTCGTCTCGGCCAGCTTGGTGGCATGTGCTATCAGCTGCCATCACCAGACATGTGGACCAAGCAAAAACAAATGCCGTTGCAGTGTCCTTTTCCACCATTCCGCCCAGGGTGCTTGTCTGGGAATGTGCAAAGCAACTCGCATGATCTCGCATGCACGTGAGAGATGGAGCGCCTTACCAGCGGAGGACTGCTTGCTGGACATCTTGGACCAACGCGCCGCAGCAGCCTCCACCTGCGGAAAGAGTCGTCAGCTCCGTGTCGTTCCTACGCTCCCACCTCCTTCTGGTCGCACAAATGGTCCAAGCCTGGAGACTTCACGCAACCAAAGCGGCAAGGCCAAGCTTGCCCTACGGCCCCTGCAAAATTTGATGGCGCTGCAAATCGATGCAGTGAGGCCTGACACACTGAGCGTACGGAGCGTTGTGCAATGGCCACATGCCGTCTCGCCTACCCAACAGTGGCAGCCGCTCTCTACCACCTGCACGAAGACGGGACTGGATGTGGCATGCCATGCGCTTCATGCCCCGCCTCTTGGCGATAAGGGCGCCGCGCCTAGAGCAAAGCAAAACAAAAAAGCCGGTAGCCTTCCGCGAGAATCCAAAGCCGCTTGAAGGAGACTCATTGGATTTGCTAAGCAGACCCACGTGACGGATGTTCATTCATCCAGACCTGGCCCTCCATGGTCCGCAAACACAGCAAGCCGTAAACGCATTACGCATCGCATCCATGCCAGAGAAGACTTGGGCCTCTACCCCGGTCGGGAGGGAGGGGGGGTGAGGGCCACGGCCAAGAGAGTGATCGGGAGAGAGTTTGACGTTTCTGGCGCTCGCCACGCGCTCGCCACGTGCGCTGGATTGCAACATCTGCAAAAAGGCTGCGAACGTCTCGAGCTATTGTGAAAACATCCCTTGCCGAAGTGTTGAAGTGCTGGATTTCAACCCTTGGATTGATCTTGGTAGTCACTGCATGGCGACTCCATTTAGGCTGCTTCCGCCCATGGCAGGCTGCAGTTCTGTGCAATCCTTTCCAAGCCTAAACGCATAAACATGCCGATGCTCTGTGTTGCCGAATCGGATGAGCCCTCCCATTCCGACGGGTTTGGCATGGCTCCATTGTGTTTTCCTGAGGTCCCGGCAATCTCCGGGGTTGGCTCCGGCGATTTGGAGAACCAATCGGACTGAAGAGCCTGAGGCACAAGTCGACACATTCCGTTCCATGCCAAAGTTGCCAAAGCCGCAAGGCGTGGTGGTGGCTGTTGGTTTTGAGAACACGTGTTGGCTGGCAGGCATCGGCCCGTTCTGAATTGCTTTGCGTCAGTCCCAAATCCTGAGAGTCCCACAGCTTTAGATGATGGGCGCGCCTTCACATCCTGCACGCAACGACTTTCCAAAGGTTCGACGGCACGACATCCATCTTCCAGCCTTTGCCAGCGTCGCAGTGAGAAACGATGCGCCTGACCACGAGTCAGGTAGCTCAAGGCACAGCTCTTCTTGGAACCCGGCAATCTCTGGCGCAGTGGGGCGGAAAGTACACTGGGGCCTCGTCTCCTGGACAAAGAAACACCGATGCGCACCCAAAAAAACATGCCGACGCAAGATTTGCTCAGCTGCGCGCCCACCGGCCGGCAGATCTGCTCTTGGCCTTCGAAGGGCAAGGCCTTAGACCGCACGCGCACGGCACCAGCCGCAAGGCACTTTGACCACCGGCCCGGCCATGGAAAGTACATGTCGCCGCGTTCCCGGAGTCATTTGAGGCTCTGCAATTCAGCGAGCCAAGCTCCGGGCGCCGGTCAGAAGAATGTAGGTCGTCACCCCAACAGCCTCGCAAGAAGCGGACTCGGGCCGTGGGTGAGGAAACCGGGCGCGGCACCCAGACGTCGACTTTGTAGTCATACGGACCGTTGAAGATCTCAGGCGGCGAAAGAAAGAAAGAAAGAAATAAAGAAAGAAAGAAAGAAAGAAAGAAAGAAAGGGAGAAAGAAAGAGAGCGACAGAGAGAACAGCGCTGCGCAGCGCCTCTGGTGCCCAGAAGGCAGGAGTGCCGACACGGCTGTAGACCTTCTCGCTCTTCTCCACCCTGACGGTGAATCAGCTGGGTGTCGGTGGGTTTCGGTGGAGACTTCGTGGGTTGAGGATTAGTTTAGGGGCAGGCTGAGCATGGGTTTCTGGTTTAGGAGGTAGGATGGGTAGGTTCAGGGGTGAACAAATGCCGTTTTAGCTGCTCGCACGTTCGCACCGCCTTAAAATGGGCATGCCGAGGCTCAAGTTGGCCATGGCAATCCCCAACTCGGGACTTCTCAAAAGACCCACACCCAGATTTGTTCAAACCCCAATCATAAAAGATCCAGCATTGCTAAAAGGTCTCCCTGCATATGGTTGAGTTAGGACCATTCCCAGAAAAAGGCCGAGGTCAAGGTTCCAGCACAATTGGTCAAGGAAGTCGTGGACCTTGAATGTACTTCCCCAATGGGGAAACAACAATTGGGCAAGTAGTCCCTTTATGTTGCCCCAAATGAGTGGGACGAACTGCTCGGGTTTGTGGCCCAGTCGGAAAGTGGTGTGGAACCAAGGACAGTATGGAAATGCGCTCTTGCAAATGGGTTGAACTTCCAGCACATAAGCATGCGCTGTGCACTTCCTTTAAATGGATGGTATTGTCCACTGCCGCGCCGTTTCCGTTGCCAACGATGTCATGCAGATTGACTTTCACCTTGTCACGCAGTAGGAACGTGAAAAAGCCCCCGCCTGATGGCGGTTCCGAAGTCCGAGAGGGCCACCTGCGGGTCCGGCAAGGCCCGAAACTTTCTCGCTTTCTTAAATCGCTTGCTTTTTTTAAGCTTTAACTGGCAAACAGCACTGGCTCCATCGGCTAGCGTAATTACCCTCTGCCACTTTGGCATTTGGCAATTCGTGAAACTTGGCTGGGATGCCTAAAGCCCGGGCCGACTGCCGCAGTGGGACCTCTGACCACGAGCACTCAAAACGGCAAAGCTGCATAGCAGCAAACATCTGCCAAAAAGATGCTCATTTGCCATATCTCCAAGTGGAGACAGGCAGCTAAAACTAAGCTGTCCCTTGCCAATGGAAAATTGAGGAACGCCGTTCATGAATTCGCAAATTCGGCATGCATGCAAAGTGAATTCTACGTAGGTCGAAGTGAGGTCAGTGCACGCAGAGCCAATTCACCTCCCTGGCAAACAGCGAACTGCCAGGAACAAATCGCTGGATCTCCGGCTGCCCATGCTGTCAAACATGTGAGCCAAAACCTTTACGACCCTCGCCCACTAGCTCGGGACTCGCGACGGCTTGGGACCCAAGCGCCTGCAGAGTTGCCTCCGCTGCCGACAACCCAGACACAAATCCAGGCACCTTCTCCATCTCCACCGGCGCCTTAAGCACATGCCACCGCATGGCATCGCATGGCATCGCAACTCGTCTTGTTTCTCACAGAGAGCCAAGGCCTTTTTCTTCCTTGGGCGCCCCGCGGCACCATACATCTCGCAGCTGGGACCGCCATCCTTCCAAATCCAACTTCTGCACCTGGCGGCGCAGGCGGCGCAGGCGCATGGGACGGACGGGACCGCCCGTGTCGCCCTTTGCCCGGCCTGGGGTCCTGCTGGCACAGGCGGCAGCACCGCTGCGGCGCAGCCACATCCAAGCTGTCGCCACGGTGCGGCTTGTGCTTCACCACACGGAGAAAGCTGCCCTCTGCCGGCACCTCAGGACGGACATGTTGGCTTGGCTCCGACAGGCGGTTTTCTTCTTCTTTCCCGGCGGTTCAAACACCAGAATGGAATCGAGCCGAGGCGCGTAGCCGACGTCCGTCTCCAGCTGACCGCACCAAAAGTGCTGCCACTCGTTGCCCGGCGGCTGGGCCTTGAGAAAATCTATGGCCTCCACCGCCACCTCGACGCGCGCTGCCTCGACGCCCAACGTCACCGTGGCGGTGAGGGCATCATGGTCACTGCCTGCGCCATTCGAAACGAGCGTCCAAAAACAAATGACATCAAATGGAATATTGCCGTCTGACATCAAATGATCAGCTGAATGGTTTTAGTTGATACAGTGAAAGCGTTTGCGAAACGGTGAGTACATTTGCCGCCTTCATTTCTTGGGAAAGCTTTCGCTCGATCCGGCCTGGTGAGGGCCTCAATCACCGCTGAAACCGATACGAGTTTGAGGGATAGCTCCATTGGCCGCGTGTCACTGAACCGTCAAGACTGTGAGCGCTTGCCAAGATGTGCTTGTGGGAAGATGGCTCAGCGTTTAGGGCTAATCGTTGAGCTGCTCTGGTCTTGGCGATTGGTTTCAGTCTCCAAAGCTTGACAGAACATCAGAGTTGATGAGTTTCGCCGAACTCAGTCTTCGCGGGCTGTGACTCCAACATGCTGCAAAATATCCTACTCGCCTCCGTGCTGAAAGCGCGGACTGCAACGCACCTCTCCAATTAAGGCAGATACCTTAGGAACTTTGCAGTTTCTCAAACCAATTGAAGGCTATGGGACCTGTGGCATACAAGGGCAAAACTGAGCGGCCGCGGCCGCTGTGGCATGTGTTCGTGTTCAATGACGTAGCTGTGCAGATGTGGCCTCCTTTCCGTTGCGGGAGCCCGGTGAGTCACAATTTGACATTGGAAAACACCAGCAAAAGGCATAAACTGTCATAGGCCTTTTGGGGTTGCAGATGGTTGCATATACTTAGTCGGACGTGCGGCGCAGCTTTCAGAGAACAGTCTCCGCGCCTCCTGGGCCCAGGTTCTTGCGGCTGATGACCGAAGAGGAGTCCATGTTGCCAAAAATGTTGTCCTTGCACTCGGGAGAAATGAAAAGAAAGGAAGAAACACAAAGCCAAACAAAAGGCCAAACACCCATCCAAGCATCTACTCCGCCGAAGGAGGTGCCACTGTGCAGCATCACCATGCGTTTCCAGAGGGCCTGAAGATCCAACAAGATCCAACAAGAGTCACAAGAGTCATGGCAAGAGGGCGGGGGGCAGAAAGGGTGCCTGGACAGTACGGGAAGCGGCATTGGCATTGAAGTCGCCCACCAGAATGATGGCGTCACCTGGCCGGAGCCCGAGTCCGGTGAGACATAGGTGTTTGTTCGAACTGACGGAGCCAGGGTTGCGCCGAGTTTTGCGTGTTTCGTCGTGCTTTCCGTATTTTGGGAGCATCTTGTTTCGCCTGGACGGGACTTGTTCTGGATCACGTGAATGATGTTGTTCGCGATGGAGTCGCCCCCACATTCGCCGCCTGAGTTCACCTCCAGCGGCCCATGGTGGTTCACGAAGAGCAGCTTTCCTTGGAGTCTCCAAGTCTCTCTCACGTGCGCAGCTCTCTCAGAACAACTCTCACCAGTCCACAAACGATTTTAAAAAACTCCCTATTCCTTTGGCTTCGGCTGCTCCGTTTTTGCTCCAGGCTGCTACCGGTGTCATAGTGCTCCAGGCGCATCCAGAACACCCCACGACGCCCGTAGTAGTGAGATCTCATGTCCTACGAAATTGGCAATTCTCTTTCGTGGAAACAAAACAAGAAACACATCGGACGGGTGCCAAACTCGTGCGAGACCTCTCCTCGCCCACATCCTCCATGCCATGGGTCAGCAGGTTCCAAACATCTTTCCGGTAGGCAAGGCAGACTGCGTGAGGTCCTGGCCGTGCGAAAGAGAGCTGTCCGGGCTTGAAAGAATAGTGGCTCCTTGCAGAACGTTGTAAATATGCAGAAGCCCAACCTGGGCTTTTCCCATGATGGGCAAGACTCGGGCAAGGCTCGGGGCAAGACGCTGCCTGCGTTCAGGTGGCCGGCTCCAAGGCGCGATGGCCATCTTCGCATTCTTGAAAGCCAATGACGTCAAAGGGTCGATCCTCAGTCTGGCTCAGGCAAGTATATTAAATAACCCACTGAGACCTCATATCACGTCTCATGACACGTGAGGTCCCCAATTCGTACCAACGACCTCCTCGATCTCGGCCTTCATGAGCTTCCCAGCGCTCTCACCATCACCTCGTGCGAGCTACGATTCGAGAAATGCGAGACGGCGAGCATCGCCCCGACTTTTGGCTGAGCGGCCCTGTCTGACTCTGTACAGATTCCACCAGAAGAGGTTGTAGGTAAGAACCTGCAAACAAAACTCAAAGAGACTCAAAAAGGAAAGGCCTGGATTTCCAGCCTTAATGGTGATGTTGTTCATGTCTGCGTTGCTCACGTTGCTCACGTTGCTCACAATACTATCGTTGCTGTCGTTGCCAAAGGCATCGATGGCATCGATGGCGTTGGGTTCGCTGTCGTAGACCGAAGGGGCCGTCAGGTTGCCCGCAGGCGGCCAGTGACACCACTTCTGGGGCATCCTGAGGTAGGATGCCGCGGCACTTGCGACGCATTGCGACGCATCGCGACGCATTTTGCGACGCATTGCGACGCATTGCGACGCATTGCCGCAGGCGCCCACTCGCCTCTCTCCAAATTGCTGAGGTCAGCACGGCACGCCGCATGGAATAGGGCATTTTCCTGGAAGCTTTGGCATAGTCCAGCTGTTCGCAGGAAGGGCCTGGCCTGGAAAGTTGTTGTGGATGAAGAGCTGGAAGTCGATGAGGGGAGAGTTGCTTGTTAAGCCGGGGTACCACTCTGGGTGCCAACCTCAATCCGCAACTTGAAGTCTGTTACTTGCTGCGGGCCTGAGGAGGGCACGCATACCAACGTGGACAGCCCACATGATCTGGCGCGGTGCAACTATCTGAGCCATGGGCTCTTACGGCAATCCAATGCGTAGACAAGTAGTACGTCCAGCGATGACCCTAGTCGCTGAGCAACCTAGTCCTGGTCATGGAACAACCCTAAACCCTAAAGCCCTAATCGACCACTGAGATGCCAACACGTAAAAATCCCCCAACCCTACAGCCCTGAAAGTTCAAACGCACTTGACGCAAAAGTCGCCAATCCTGCAAGTCCTAAACCCTATCCATGTGAGAGGCAACATCTTATCCTTTGACACTTCAGCAATTGCAAGATTCTAAGATAGAAGCCTCTAAGCCTATGTGACATCTGCATCTCCCATCCTCTCGGAAGCAGCGATCTCCAGGCTGGGCAGTGTGGCAGCCGCTCTTCGCACCTACCGCATCCCAAGCCTTGCCCGAGTCATATGATATATGGTAAATGTCTCTCAGATTCTACGTATAAACTGTAGCAGAAAAATGCTTTAGTTGGATATAGTCGGATATAGTGCATATCCAAGCCTTGCCACCGCGCTGTGAACGCGCACGGGGATTGCCCCTTGCCCCCGCATCCAACTGCCTCCGATGGGCCATCCTGGCGCAAGACAACTGTTGCGCACTGCACTGCGCACTGCGCACTGCGCCTCCCCCCTGCACAGCACGGGGAAGAGCAAAAGCACCTCAGCTCAAAGTCCTACCGGTGCCATTGGCGAAAGAGAATTCCAAGTGCGGGCGCGGCACTTTTAACATTGAATCAAACCCTTGGCATGCGCAAGTAGCTAGCTGTAAGCCGAAAGAGTCGAGAAATCTAGCCCACGGGCCCACATGCCCACGAGACCATCAGCTTCACCACTTGACCCCACTTGACCGATCGCCCACCTTGACTGCAGGGTCTCCAATGTTGGGCCGGTCCGACAGGAAGTTCTCACCCTAGGTACAACCCAAATCCAAATCGGCTGGCGTTTGATTTTGCGTGCATGAGTATGTATGTGGGTGTGCAGGTGGGTGGTCGTGCGTTATTGCTGCGGACTCTGTGAGAATGCTGTGTACATATCCGTCCTGGCCTTGACATCTCGGTGGATGATTTGGAGCGCATGCACCTGAGACAGAGCAAAGGCAGCCGGATGGCCCAGATGCCACACTCGAGTCGGGGAGTCGGGGAGGGCACGTGCGCGATGGCTTGTGACATCTGCGAGGCCAGGTTCCGCAGCTGCCTGCTCGGCAGGCGTCCGTGGGCCTGGCGGGTCCCCCCCTCACGACAGCGACGACGTTGGGGTTCCTGTGAGCTACCTACCCGTGAGGCTCCCGACCCTGCGATGGACATTGAGGCCATCCACAAGGTCGCCACCGTTGAACATGTCCATGACAACATGCACGTACTGGCCCTGGCGGTTGTACATCTCTCAGAAGAAGCATGAAAGCACGGGGCCTCCAAGAAGACATCATAGCACCTGCAACGAGCAAGCTGATGTGCAAACGGATGTGTCCTGCCCTGGCCTGACCACGTTCTCATGCCGGAGGAATCTCATGATGGCGATCTGCCCAAACACGTTTGATCCGTTTGATGGCATCCCCAAAGCTCAAGAGATCAGCGAAGCTCGCCACATGTTTTGCTCGAGTCCCGTGCTGCAAGCCAGCTTCAGGCCGCCTAAATCTGAAACCGCACGCATCCAGCGAAGCGGTCGTATGCCTGACCTTCGCTCAAAATTCAGACAACAACCTCCGTGAAGGCCATAGTTCCGGAACTGGCGCGCGTGTACCTCAACACTCAACTCAGATTTGCAACGTTGCATGCCAATCATCACATTGGTCCATCAATCCACGAGCACGATGCTGTACCTTGTTTCAGATGCCTTTAAAATGCCACGAAGGCACATGGCGGCCCGACGCGCAGCAGCCTCAGCAGCCTCATCACCGGAGAGGTCCAGCTTTACCTTGACACGCGCAGTTAGTCACTGGCCGCGTTGCCCTATTCATCAGCACACGGTGTACATTCCCTGAGTCGAGGGGCGTGAGGAATGGTCGCGTCGTCCGCCAGGCCGCAAGTGTTCTTGTCCTCAAGCCATAGCAAGCGCATGCGTGAGATTGCGTGAGGCTTCGTGATGTTTTATGGCGCTTTATGACGTCACGAGCAAATGCTGAGCGATAAGTCTGCGTCCATCTCCAAATGAATGTAGCCCGCCATTCCCCAGGTGGACGCCCAGCTGTTGCGGACGATCCAGTACGGCTTGGGGGCGGTCGAGTTGTATCCGACGGCCATTACGCAGTGGTCTTGGTAATCAGCCCCCATGGGGCCACAGGCGGCTGCAGTGAGGACGCCCCCCGTGTAGTCGTTCCAAACCCCTGCATTCACCTGAGCGCAGAGGCAGAGGCGCATGCAGAGAAACCGAGACTTACAACGGCGAGCTGCACAGATAGAGAGCGGAGCTTCTTCCAGCGCGGATGCCAAGCCTTTCAAGTCCTCGATCCACATCTCGATCATCGATCCGACTCGATATATTTTTGTTCATGGTATGTGCTTGGCCTTCCCCAAACGGCACTCGCTGACAAACAGCCCTCCTGATGCTCACAAGAACCTTCGGTGCAGGCTGGAACGGCATAGCTGTAGCCTGGCCAGACACTTTCCGCCCCGGCACCCTCCCAGCGTGGTAGAGTTTGAGCACAACTTCACCCGACGCCTGTCACTGCGGCATATCCTCCCGAGAGTTGCATGTCGGGGCCGTCCATGGCAGCCACCTTGCAAGCAGCCAAAACAGCACACTGTGCCACTTCCGGCCAGTCATTGACTAATATTTGACTGTGTCCCCCGTTGCCTTGGCTTTTGGGCATGTGGCGGTCTCCGTGGACTGGGTAAGGCTCTGCTCGTATGGGATGTAAAAGCCTTGGATCGCCCTACGCAGAGAGAGGCAGAGCAAATGCATAGAACATCCCGACATGCGATTGTCAAATTAAATTTGCAACTGTGGTTCTGTTAGCCAAACCAGGGGCCGTCTTCAGGTACTCATAAGCTCCCTCCGTGAAGCCGCCGTTGCAACCTGCCAACTCTACCAATTGAAATTCAAGGGGACATGCTCGCGATAACCCTCCTCGCCTTGGCAACCATAGGTGCCAGTGCTGGGAGCGCAGCTGGCAATCTGCTGAGGGGACAGCTCGATGTCATACCTCTGAGTGCAGTCCACAGCAGCATCACTTCTCATAAAATGCGGTGACGCATGCCCCACGTTTGTAAACCGTCATCGGCTCTCAAGCGCCGCGCCTGCCACCAGAGGCCAAGATCATTTGCGATTCGATGGCTTCGGTTGCTGAGAACGCCCAGCAAGAACCACATTGGCCTGCAAAGAAATGAAAGCCCGAAAGCTGAACAAGCAGGCAGGCATCAGCAAGGAACAGGCGCGGGCAAAGGCGGGTTCCAAACTCCAAACATGGTGTTTCAGCTTGGGCAGCTCTACGGGGAGCAAATACAGGCGCTTGCTTTCCTACTATCTCATGAGTTCCTTGATTCAAGCGCCACTTCTCACGCTGATGCGAGAACGGGGGCTCCAACCCAGCTTGGCCCAAAATTGGCTGATGATGCAATTCAAGGCCGGCGCCGCTTGCTCATGAAACGTTTGTGAGCCGGCCCCTTCCTGGATCTTTTTCTGCTTCTCAAAGCTCATCGCGGATCAGCTGGATGTCCAGCGCAATTCTCCTGTCACCCACCACCTCCAGCTGCGTCTCTTGCAGCTCACTGGCAGCGCCCTCGCTTGAGCGCCTCGCCTTTGTAAGCTCCACCGTGGCGTTTTGTTCTTCCTTGTTGCCACGGCGCCCGCCGCGCTGCATATCTGGGAAATAGGCCGAACGTTTCTCATAGTGGAAGCCATAGTCGACCAAGTTGACAACCGGCGCCGGGTTTCTCCGTCATCGTGAGCTGGTACGTGCAAAACGCCGACCACGACGGTCGCGCTACGAAGAAGTGTTTGTGGCCTTGGCGCCTTGGAAGTCGACGTTCTTCGCAACGAAAAGTCTGCCCAGCGCACCATCTCCTCGCTGACTGGAACCTCACAAAGCTTCCGTGGCCAGGATGTCCAAGATGTTTCTCCAACAGCTTCTGCGCGGTTCATGTCCACCCACTGGGGGTGCAGGGCTGCAAGGCAAGCGCTGTAATGACGCTGTGGGCAACGCTGGCAAGGGTTGCCTGAGCTTTGACCCTACGCTTCAAGGAAAGCCTCTGAACATGAATTTGTCCAGCACAAAGGTGTGTGCTTGTCACGCCCTGAAAGACGCCTCTTCTGCCAAGCCACCTGCCTGCGGGCCCAAACAAGCAACCCTTTTGCAGTAAGCCCATTCTGCGTTGCCCTGACTGCTAGCAAACTACGCAGTCACCTTCTGCCTTTGCGTCTGCCCGAAAGACGTCTGGCGCAGTCTCAGCGGTATGCAGCAGTGGCCCATGGTGCTGGACCCAGCACGCCGGCCATGAACACAACTTTGGCAACACCTCTGCTGCAAGCGCTTGTCAACCCACTCGGCAAGCCACGTGACCCTCGCATCGCTGAGCGCAGAAGCAGAAGAGCTGTAGGTGGCGTTTTAGAACGAAAGCCCCCACGAAACTCCAATGGCCAACCACCCCGCGTCACGGCTTTGGACGCAACGCCTTTTCCCCTTCCCGAACTTACTTGTTTTCGATCTTGTGGAAACGCCTCTCATTGATCCCCTAAGAGGCTGCAGCGCCTCTTCAAAGACCAGGCCAGGTCTTCGTTGCGAAGGGCTTCTTGCCGTCTTCTCCGCCGACGCTGCGCCCTGTTCTCACTGACTTGCCCTTCATTGACCGGGCTGCGTTTGAAGTTGTTCTCTGTCCAGGTTGTCACCTTCAACTCGCGTTCTTCTCATAGACACTCGGCCTTGCCTTGCGCCATCCCACGCCATCGCCGGCGGATACCACTGCGGCCTGATTTAAGCGCCTTTTCCACGCTGCTGCCAGATTGGGGGCCTAGCCCAGCTTTGGCTCAAATTGGGCTGACGATACATATTTTCAAGCTTGCTCATGAAACGACCCCTTCATCTCCTTGCTGAACTGACTTCCAGCTGCCACTGGCAACTTTGTTTCTGGGAACCGCAGCAAAATAAACATGCACGGGACACGAGGCAACTATAACAATCCTCGGCCAGAATTTTAAAATGGTGCCAGGTATTGCCTGAAACAGGCAAAGCAAGCAAAAAACCCGTTCAATCGTATGGTTCAACCGCATCTGAGCCAAGATCCTCCGAGGTGTCGCAAGCAAACAGCTAAGTAGGCAATCCGCATCTTTCCCTTCATCACCCGCCCCCTTCCCCCCTTCCCTCGGCCGTCTCGGCTGTCTCGGCCTTGGTTCTTGATCGGGGTCACCGCCTCGGTGAGGCGCCAGTCCACGGCAGCCGCGCGGGGCGCGGAGAAGTTCCGCACAGGGGCGTTGGACGCGAAGCCGCTGGGCTTCTTCAGACCCCTGCGGAACCAAGGTACGTACGACGCCGCACGTCCCGAGTGTCAGTCAAGTGTCACTCAAGTGTCATACCGAGTCATACCGAGTACCCGTCTACACTCCAAGGCCAACCACCTTGCACGTCAGTCTTTTACCGAAACACGGAATCTTCACCAAGCAATCACCGTATGCATGTTGTATTGATGTTGCAGTCACCTCACCCTCCGTGGAGCTGCACCCTCAGTGTCGGCGGGGTGAAGTGTCCTTTTTCTTGCAGCCTTTTCATGCAGCCTCATACATTGTTTGGCCACGTACTTTGCTCGTTTGCTTCCTTCTCCTTCGTGGCGTGCGTATTTGCGCCACTTGGCTTGTTCTCGCCAGACTCCAAATGTCAACATCCCAAACTTCCAAACACTTCCAAACCCTCGGGCTCAAACAGGCAAAGAGAATCCGAGAATCCTACCCCAGCCTCTTGTACTTCTCCTCCTCACGACGGTCTGCCATCCACGTAATGCCAAATACCGGCTCGCCATTCAGCTCGTTCAAGTAGTTCACTCGTGCTTTGGTTGCAAGAAACCTAGGCAAATGCTAGACGAGACTGGTGGGATATCGGGCACACTCTGTACAAGATCAAGGCACAGCTTGTAGCGGTCTGATTCCTCGTCCTCGCTTGCGTAGCTCCTCGGTACAGTGCCGTCCTGGACAAGCATCGCGCCTGCTGCCTGCAACCTAGAGTCTTTTGAAACTTGTTCTTAAAGTCATGCCATTCTGGATCGTGGAATGCAGACACCACCAGGGCTGGGAAGAGGAAGACTGCCCACATGGCTACGGCCGGTCCAAATAGCACGAAGGAGTTTGAGCCAATGCTCAACCAGCCGGCGCTAAGCTAGCAACTGGCTAAGATCTTTTATTCAGCCCATCCAGCAAAGCGCGAGGGAGCTTTTCTTGGCGCTGTCTCTGCGACTAGGCGCCGACCTGGGCCGGAGATGGACGCATGTTGATTGTTTCGTTCAAGTGAAATTTCACGAAATCTGTCCCAGCCTCTGCGCTGAATCTTTTACACCTGAGAAAAGCCGCATGCCCTCACAGTCTACCCTTCCCTGCTCCAGAAAACTTGCATGCGCACGGGCCTTCTAGTCTCCATATCCCACACAAAGTCGGCATTGCAGCCTGCTCTTTGCTCGGACAGTCCGGATCTAACACAAGCTGAGGTGCCGACAGCAAGACCTGCCACATTTGTGGCTGTGGCTGGCGTCGCACGTGCCGTCCTGCAAAAAAAAAAAAAATGACTCCGACTCTCGAGACTCGCGAGACTCGCGAGACTCGCGAGACTCGCGAGACTCGCGAGACTCGCGAGACTCTCGCCTGCCGCCGTGCGGTCCAAAGATGGGACGCCGGGATGTGAAATCTCGCGACCAGCGGATCTGCATCGTGGCCTTTGGCTCGCTCACTCGAGGCTCACTCCACTCGCTCTCATTTCACTCTCGTTTCACTGGCTCGCCGAGGAACAGCTCGTGCAGGCATCGCCCTCCACGTTGTACTCGCAGCCGAACATGCAGCAGCAGTGGTTGCCGCAGCTGTAGGCATTCTTTGCCTGGGATTTGCACGGCATTGCCCACCAGACCTCACGTCACTTAGGCCGCAGCTGCGCAAGCAGACCATGTCTGGGAGCCGGCAATCCTTATGCAACAGGACTGGACTCACGACCTGGGCAATAGGGCAATTGGGCAATAGGGCAATTGGGCAATTGGGCAATTGGGCAATTGGGCAATTGGGCAATTGGGCAATTGCCTGACACCTCAAGTCTCGCAGAGCTGCGAAGCTGGCTTGCCCTCATGGTGGGCAAACAAATCCAGGCCAGTGTCATGGGGACCTGCAGACAGCTGAATGCATGTCGACCCAGTCTCTAGTAAACGGCCAGGGGAGCGTCTATGGTGTTTCGAAGCTCGAAGATGCTCACGGCTGGACACAGGGCGACGCGCAAGGCGACGCACCAGGCGACGCACAAACAACCCAGACGTAGGCACAGCAAAGTGTGAGAGGTGCGCCCGGGATCGATTTTTGCAATGGCTCCCGAAGATGCGATCGACGTAAGTCCACCAAGCTGCACGGCTTGAGATGCGTCAGAGCTCTCCGGGAGAAACTGAAAACGGGGCATTGTGAAACTGAGCCCGTTGAAAGAAGTGAGCATGTGACAGTGTGCGATTCAGCTTCAAGTTGCACCCTCAGACCTATGCCCTGCGCGGCTAGCTGCATATCAAGAATCTCTCGGAGAAGGGGCACTGTCCGGGGGACTTCAAGTTGAGTCAAGCCGCCTTGCAGCTTGCCTCTTGCATCTTGCCTCTTGCATCTTGCAGCCGGGCCTCGGAGCCGCCTTGGGCGGTGCAAGCGGCGCTGCTGCCGCTGAGTGCCTGCGCGGGACTTGAAGAGGTCCCGAGGCGAGTCCCTGACATCCCTGCGACCCCTGCGATCCCTGCGATCCGTCCTTGGCGAAACTTGCTTGGCCGGAGCACAGTGCCTGAGCCGGACCGGTCCATCTGTCAAATTCAAATGACATGCCATGCGCCTGTGTTCCAAGTCCCATTCAAAGCGGCTATTGCAGCCTCAGCCAAGCCAAGACTTGCAAATCCGGTCCGCTTGAAACCTTGGGGCACCACTAGACAGCTGAGGTCGACACAGCAAGATGCGCCACAGACATGGCTGTTTGCTGGAGAGCACACACCCTCCTGAGAGGTTCAACGCCAAGGGCCAGCAACATGATCTCTCTCCCTCTCTCTCTGGCAGGCACAGGCTTCTCAATGCAGCCCGACTTGGATTCACGCCGAAGCGCAAGAGCGTGCTTTAATGAAACCTCCACTTAGGCCGTTTGCCAAACAAATAGTCAAACTTCTATGTCCGCAGATCTCTACAGTAGCCAGCAGTTGTGGACCCTGCTACCCCATGCGAACCATGCGAACACGTGTCAATCTTCATTGGAACTGGCCTGCGTGAACAAGCTCAAGCACAATCGACCCAATCAAGCTGCCATCTGCCTTCACGATATATTCTTTGTCGCGTATTGCTGTATTGCTAGCTCTTGGATTTGGTCAACATTGTGTCATGTGTCTCACTCGCACCGTCTTTGTCCAGTTGGGACCCGATTTACAGCTACATGTACCGCCTTGGTCTTGTAGCCACTCTCTCGCGCGTCGCATCTTCGCCATGAATCCGTTTGTCCGGCATTGGCTGTTTGGATCCGCAACTGCTCAAAAACATCCCCAGCGTCACTCATGTTAATGTCACGTTCATGTTGCCCAGTCGCGCACCGCGTGCGGGACATAGAACCGTAGGCTTGTCACTGCCCAGAGCCGAAAACAGATGACAGCCACAAAAAACGTGGGTGCTCACTTGTACAAAAGGCCTGTGGCGCTGGCTCACAAGAGCACCTGATTTTATCTTCAAAAACTGAAGATGAAGAGAGGCAACGCCAAGTGCATCAAACAGAAAGCATCCCGGTCCTCCATACGATCTTCCCACAAGTGAGACGACGGGATGTGGAAGCTGGTGACATCTGGGCTGTCTGCTCCTGCACGTCCACTCTGCCAAACAGATGAGACAGATGCCTAGGGAAGCTGAGGTCAAACAATCTTGCGCCGAGGTTCTGCAGCGGCGGCAACTGTCGTGCTCTGCATCGTAGATGCAGCCGAAGCGGCAGCAGCAATGGCCGCTGCAGCTGTAAGCATTCCTGACAAAGCGCCAGGTGCTTACATTTGATGCTCCGCGCCTCGTTTTCTAGAATATCCGACGCTTCCGGCGACTCATGTCACTAGCTAGGGCAACAGCAGCGAACAGGGACTGGTCAAACGGGTTTTTGCAACGTCCTGCTTTCGCACGTGTGCCCCATCGTGGTCCACGTCTGCGAGCCTTGGAGACTAAAGTGAGGCGCCGGTGACTCCAACATGCAATGGGCAAGCCTGGAACTGGCTCTTCTGCTGGTACCTGAAGGCTTGCCAGCTGTCACTCAGTCACTCCCACGCTGGGGGCACGGGACGTGCGGGTGGCTCGGCGTCTGCTGGTGCCACGTCAGCAGCCTCGCCTAAGTCGAGCGGTCGAGCGGTCGAGCGGTCGAGCGGTCGAGCGCGGACGCGACTCGCACGCTCGACCCGACCGACAGGACCCGAGGAGCCCACAGTGCCGCTTCTCCAAACTCCACTGGAAGCCGGCGTTGCAGCAGCAGGACGCGCCGCACAGGTGGCCTCGTGATACACCGAGGACACCGAGGATACACCGATGCACTGCTGAGATCTGCTCTGTTTTTCGTGTTGCAAGACCTCAGCGCTATTCACAGCTCGAATGCCAAGCTCCCACACAGCCAAGCCACCCTCCAGCTCGATCTGCCCAGAGATGCGACGAGGGAATGTGAAATTCCGTCACCTTGCGAATTGGGCAACGCGCTGGCAATTGAAGCCTGCGCACCCGGTTGCAAAAAGAATCAAAAAATCCTTCCAAGGAATCAAGCTTAAATTCACCTGACACCCAGAACATTTGATGCGGTGCTCAAATAGAGCATTCCGCACAACCAAAAAACCTGAGATTGGGAAGCCCTGGAACGCGTAAAAAACCCGGGAACCCCAAAAGCCAAAAGCCCGGCCTAACAGATTGAACCCAAGGCAAGATCCAAATCTCACACCAGAAGTGAACATGGAGAAGCAACAGGCCTCAACGTAATTTGAAACCCGACAACACGGAATTGACGTTGCCAGCATCATGGCTCAGCTGAGGAGCCAATGGATCTGCCGGATTGCAGCCGCTGCAAGAATCCAGCTCGACATCATAGGCGCATCCAAACCTGAAGCAAACAGGCTAGGCTCAGCTCAACGCAAAGCCTGGGATCCGCACATGCAGCAGCAATGCTGCCCGTCGCCACAAGGGTAAGCATTCCTGGCAGGGCAGAATTCAATTCAATGTTAGCCAAGCCTTGTAGTCCCCCTAATCTGCCGCCCAAGGGGTGGCGCTTCGTGGTGTCAACACGCCTTCTGGGATTCATGTGACTTAACTCGGAATCCTCACCATTTATTTTTGCTGAATGCTGCAGACTACAGAAGGCATCTTCCAAGGGCGCAATCAAAATTTGTGATTTTACATAGTGGTGGTTCAAATCCCGCCGCAATTTTCTCAGCAGGCAAAAAGACAAAAACTTTGGTTCTGGAGATAACACGCCGCACGCCGCCGCGAAGAGTTTGAGCGCCTACGGCGCATTATTTCTGACTTTAATTTGTGAATTGTTATTTGCACGGTTACTGAAAACTGAAAATAACAGTTTTTAAATTTCAGTGCCAGCGCGGACCGATGTCGTTTAGACCCACTGCAAAGTGACCATCTCTGCTAAGCTCTTTCGACCATCAGGTGCTCTCCTCTCTCCGCATCTGTCGGAGGTGTCTGGCCAGGTTTGAGAACCTGACATTCAACCGAGAGTCATCTGCAGGGGAGCATTGCATGCCTGGAATTGGATGTGGCCGTGGAACTTTCGGAGTTCCACTGCCTCCCGTTGTCCTCGGAGTGCAAAGTGAGCTTGAAGCCACCCAAATTCTAAGGAACTCTTCGGTCAAAGCGCTTCAGCTCAAGCGAAGGCTGCAGGGCGGCTCGGATGGCCGCACTTGCTGCTGGCCGTTCCCCCAAAGAACCTGGCACGCTGATAGCACCCTGGGCTTACAACTGGCATTTGTTCGGGATTCTCCAGCCACCAAGACATCATAGCGTGGTGACATCTTTGAAGTATCAAAAATCCATAAGAGCATGAAGCACTCCACATTGCCACGAGTCCCCCTGGTTCGTGAGGTCTTGGTGCTTCCGAGAGGCATGAGATGGTCGACAGCGCTATGAGGTGCCGCATCCACCAAAACCTAAGGCCGTAAACAGGCATGTAAACTTAGGAGCTCAAACTAACAGAATTACTAAATTACTCCGGGACACATGGAGTAGAGTTCTTCAGACACATGGCTAGCTTGAGCCGGGTGCTTGGAGATGCGGTAATGCGTTTACATGGGTCTGTGGGTCTTGCACAGAGTGTAGTGCACAAGGCATGCGAAACATCATGCGCCTCATGTGCAACTTCCCTGGGAGAAAGGTCGGTGGTGTCGATCTTCTTAATGGCGCGAATCTGCCATTGACAGTGCCGCTCACATGGAAATGCAAAATGCGGGGCCCTTGCCTGGCCAGATGTCTTGTGCATGGCACGCCAAACGGTGCTGAAAGCTCCCTGGCCCTAAGGGAGAAGACATGCGCTTCATGTGGCTCTCGATGCTTTTGCTTCGGTTTGCAAGTGGACCTGGACCGAATTGAGTCCCACGCCACATACTCCTCGACATTGTAAACTGCAAGGAGGTTGGGCGGAAACTGCCTGACTCTCACGCGCTAAGCCGAGAGGGGCAATATCAAGTGACAGTGTGTGCATCTTAAGCGTAGCCAAACGAGGCATCAAAAAAAACGAAGCTCAGCCCCACCTCGCCAATGAGGCCTGCACACAAAACATGGCAAGTCACACAGTCACACCGGCACACCGGCACGCCGGCGCCTCGGTGCCCGTCATGGTGACATGGCCGGCAGGGAAAAGGTCTGACACGGCGATGTGAACAAAAACTTGGAGGCTCTGTCTGTCCCGGACGTGACGCTGTCAGACATCCAAAGCAATGAATGCAGAAAGAATGGTCATTGACAGTCATTGCGTGTGCTGGATCCACTTCTGTCAAACAAGGCACTGACCATGAGAAATATCTTGCTTGAACCTGAATGTCGCGGCACAATCACATCAATGTGTCTTGCCACTCTTTGCGCAGAGCAATTGAGAACACGTCAGAAAAAGGCAACCTGCTCACCAGACCAAAGCTGTATGGGGATGGTTTGAAAACATCAGCCTGACATCAAGCATCTGGGTGTCATCACGTCAGAAAATATCAAAGGACCTCGCAACTGCCCTTTTCCAGAGGCTGGGCCATGAGACCTTGTGATCCACAGTGGAAACAGTGGAAAACCAGGTCAACCTGGGGCAAGGCCCACGAATGTCTAAAAACCCCTTGCCAATACCCTATCAACTTGCCAATGCCCTATCAACTTGCTAGTCAATAGTCTATCCAGTGTTCATAAACCCGGCAGTTCAACAGTCTTAATCTGTACGTGCGGGCATGCGAGTAGCGGACGTACGAGTGGACGTACGAGTGGACGAGTAGGCAAACGAGCGGACGCACGAGTGGACGCACGGATGGACGAGTGAGCGTACAAGTGGACGTACGAGTGGACGTACCAGTGGACAAGTAGGGAGTAGACGCGCGAGTGGATGTACGAGCGGCGTATGAGTGGACGTACGAGTGGACGAGCGGACGCTCGAGTGGGCGTCTGAGTGGACGTGCGAGTGGACGGGCGTATGAATGGACAACGGGACTAGATGTGCGAGCAGGCGTAATGTATCATAATGTGTGGTGTTTGATTTTTATAGCTCATGGTCACACCTTACCATACTTTATCATAAGAAACCAATCATCAAATCTTATCATAACTTAGTTCGTTCATCCTCATAGCTTCTCATGACTTGTCACATTTCCTCGTAAAATGTTCATCATAGTTTGTCATAGTTTTGTCGTTATCATAGATTATCATAGTTCATCAAAGTTCATCATCATAGCCTGTCATGATTTATAATATTTAGCATAGGTCTTTCATGGCTTAGCATATTAAGAATCGCAGTTTATCCTAGTTTATCATAGTTCATCATGGCGCATCATCGTACCCTATCATAAGTTACCAGTATTTATCATGGTTCACCATAGTTCATCATCATACTTATCATAAGGTATCATAGTTCATCATACTTTTCACAACGTATCAGTTAGCATCCTGTTCACTGCTTCAACCCATTAAACGGGGGAACAAGCCAAGGAAACAAGACAGAGTCCACGAATGCACATCACTTTGCGCAAACCCAAGAAAAAAATTAGAGAGAACATTTTTCTGTATAAGCCAGTGGGGCTCGCAATCAAGCCTATTGCGCAAACTATGTTTTTCAGCTTGTAAAACTGCTTTGCGCGCTCCACTTTTTGCTACAAAGCTACGATTTTCAATCTAGAGCTGGACACCTGCGCTTCGCGCGCTAGATTTGTACTACAAAGTTGCAATTTTCCAGCCGGAGTGCGACTCTGCAGCGCAGCAAGGTATAGGTTTCCAGCTCTAGATGGAAAATCGCAACTTTGTAGTACCAGCTCTAGCTGGAGAATCGCAACTTTGAAGTACAAGTCTAGCGCGCGAAGTATGCAGGTTTCCAGCGCTAGCTGGAAAGTCACAACTTTGTAGTGCAAGTTTAGTACGTGAAGTACAAGTTTTCAGCTCTGGCTGGAAGATCGCAACTTGGGAGTGCAAGTATAGTGTGCGAAGTACAGGTTTTGAGCTCCAGCTTGAAAATCGCAACTTTGTAGTACAAGTCTAGTACGCAAAGTACAGGTTTTCAGCTCTGGACAATCGCAGCTGTGTAGCGCACTAGACTCCAATTTACAGCTACTTCGCGCACTAGACTTATACTACAAAGTCACGATTTTCCAGCTAGAGCTAAGACCCTGTACTTCGCACACTAGACTTGCGATTTTCCAGCTAGAGCTAGAACCCTGTACTTCGCGCACTAGACTTGTACTACAAAGTCGCGATTTTCCAGCTAAAGGGCTAAAAACCTGTACTTCGCGTACTAGACTTGCACAACAAAGTCGCGATTTTCCAGCTGGAGCTGGGTACTTCGCGTACTGGACTTGTCAAAGTTACGATTCCAGCTAGAACTGGAAACCTGTACTTCGTGCGCTAGGCTTGCGCTACAAGGTTGTGATTTCCAGCTAGAGCTGCACTTTGCGCACCTGTGCTTCGCGCACTAGACTTGTACTACAAAGTCGCGATTTTCCAGCTGGAGCTGGAAGCCTGGTTTTACCAAGATGATTTTCGAGCTGGAGCTGGAAACCTGTACTTCGTGCACCAGACTTGCACTTCAAAGTTGTGACTTTCCAGAAACCTGTACTTCGCGCGCTACACTTGTGCTACAAAGTTGCGATTTTCCAGCTAGAGCTCAAAACCTGTACTTCGCGCACTAGACTTGCACGCGATTTTCCAGCGTGTTGTAGACTTCTGAGCAACACGTCTGAGCACAACTTCTGACTGACACTTCTGAGCAACACTTTTGAGCGACACCTGATCAGCACTTCTGAACCACACTTTCTCTCATCGACACTTCTGAGCAACACTTCTGAGCAACACTTCTTCTGATCTTGACACTTCTGAGCAACAATTTTGACCGACACCTGATCACTTCTGAACCACACTTTTTCTGATCAACACTTCTGAGCAACACTTCTGAGCGACACTTTTTCTGATCGATTTTCCTGAGCAACACTTGAGCAACACTGCTGCAAGAAATGTGCCGACCAGTGATGATGCTATGCTCAGAGCGAAACATGGCATTGGCCAACAAAGCTGAGAAGGGCTGGATTAAAGCCAGGTACTTACCGGCCATGCGCTAACCTGCCAGGCTTCTTCTGCGATTGTCCAGCACGCCATCCACGTTGATCTGCGGATCTATGCGGATGTAATCGATGAAACACGAGGACAGGGAGCGCATGCGTGCGATGCAAAATGTGATGCCGCGCACGCCTAAAATGCAAAGGGTGTCAAGCAGGAAGTTGCACAGGTGCCCCATGCGATTCACGCACGCCAGGCGATCATTGCGTTCTGGGTGGCGCATCCATTTGCTAAGTAGGCATGCGAAGCCGTCCTGTGCGGCTCAAGATGGCGAAGCATCCATGCGGTGGCACTGAGGCCACTGCGGCCTCGAAGTCTTTAACGCGAAGCATGCGTCGGCATCGTTTGCAAGGGACATGCTGGCGCGGGCAAAATGGAACAATTTTTGATCTGGGACTGGCCCCTGAAGAGCTTCATGCTCCGGCCACAAAGCAAGGCAGCGGACTTCTGCTTGAGGTGCCCACGAACACCAAAAATGCACGGAAATGCAACGCTGCATTTGGTTGCACACGCAGCCTGCGGGCTTGGTGCTTGGGACCAGGTCACCGGGGACCTGGCACTGATGGAAGAGCATGATAGCCAACAATGGCAGAGTTGTCGCCGACGACGTGACATGGGAGGCGCACCGCGAGAGCAGAAGCAACCCCTTCAGCGTGGTAGGCGTCTGGACAGACCGCAATGGGTAGGGCTTCTTGAGCAAGGATGTGAGAGGAATCGGCGCAAGAAGCTCAACAAGGGCACCGGACCCTCCGACCGCAGAGTTCCGGGAGAAGGCGCCATCTGTCAAGAAGGCGAGATGACGTCCCGTGGGACGCTGTCGATCCACCAAGCTTCCAGCTGTACTCAATCACGCGGTGAAGATATACGGCTAAACCGATACAGCCAAACCAGTGTAAAATATGTAAGGGTGTTCCACAATAACCACACAAGCTCGTGATCTGCAGCGCGATCGCACCTGTTTCCTCTCACTCGGATCGAACACAGAGTCCATGCAAGACCAAAAGCCCTACTCAAGTCTTGTGCCAAATGTGGTACCCACGGGACCAAAGAGAACATGGACCTCAGAACGGCTTCCCAAGTTAGGCACGGAGCCAGGAGGGTTTTAACATATTATTTGGGTCGCACTGTTCATCATGCGGCCCAAACATCACAACAACTCCCAATGGCCACGGCTCGGACTACGAAACTGTGTCGAAACATTCTTTCATGCTCAATTGTAGCGCCAATTATTCATTGTGAAACTCAGCCGGGTTCGATTAAATCAAAACTCTTGCATCCGCAGACCACAGCACACTCCTATACACAGAGGCATGAGGAATTACACCCCGTACCGCAACGCAGTTAGCGAAGATCCCAGCTGGCGTATTTGCGCATCACGCAGCTGTCATCCACCGAAATGGGTTGGCCATAGATCCTCACATTGCGCAGGGCAGAAAGCCATCTGTGTGTCACCGGCAAAAGAAATTGGCGAACAATACATGCAAAGGATGGCCATTCCAGACACCATGAATATTATGAGGAAATGAAAGCATCCATGAGATAATAGCATCCATCCATGAATATCCGGGAAGCCATAGTCGTCGAAATATGTATACACATAGGTATGCTCAAGCAGGAAGAGAGTTTCGTTCGTCAACTCGATGCAGATAATGAGGAACTCAGACCATCCAAGAAGATGGAACTACT